TCCATTTCTCTCTATCCAGAAGATACCTTCTCCCATTGCTAAATCATGTCCATGCCTTCCTGTTTACATATTCCACCTATGGAATGTGGAACCAAAGAAGAGGATATCAATTCTAGGATAAATCCTTCCCTTCTTCCCCAAGAGCACCATAGAAGCACAGTAGGAGCCCATCTCCAATTAACATTTACCCAGCACATTCCCACCTCCTCATTGCCTTAACACATCTGAGTCACCAGCTGAAGTGACTGGAAATTAACCTGCTGAAGCAAAAATGCATGAAATCGCACAATTATTTGACATGCATTTCCATAGCAGCTCACGTGTGGGAAACTGAAGAGTTCCTTAGAATACGTAAACTTTGTCTAAAAGACAGAGTCTGTAAAGAAAGGCAGTATCTTGGATCAAGTCCATGGATGGTCTATGAGAAAACTTACTACCTTTGGGGAAACAAGCTCTTCAAGTCTTCATTTTAGGGGATGTAAAAGTTATAAGATGACTTGTACTTTATCTCTCTTTCTCCAGGAGTACTACCATTCTCTAAAGGAAAATGAAAGATGAGTCCCTTCCCCTTGAACTGTTGTGGATTAGGCTTGTCAAGAAGATGGTTCCCCTCCTTATCATGCTATTTTATACCTTTTCACTCCTTTCTTTCAGCCAAAATCTGGTACAGAACACCTCCTTCTCCCCCAACTCTTATATTAATATTCCAGCCAGCTAAATACTGCATAAATTGCTTCTTTCAAAAAAGCATTTTTGTAATTTTGAGAATTGAACAGTGGTTAAGCAGCAGGTGGCAACTTTAATATCTGCATTTCTCTTTGAATCACAGCTCGATAAACCCTGACAGAATATTAAGGCTTCTGCCTACCTTGTCTACTTGGCCTGCACACACCATCCTGTGAAACTCCACCTGCTGGATAATCTTCTTATGACAGGCCAAGAGAAGCTTTCTCTTAACATTTGTTAAGACAACACCTAAAACAATGATACATCAGTTTTAATGATACACTTACATACTTGTCATGCTTTTCCTTCCTACCAGTACTACAATCAAGTGAAAGCATTGAGTAATTTACTTCTTCTTAACACCTCAGGATAATGGGCCAGACTCATAATTAAGATCAATTCCTAAAAATACTTATATACAGGAAAAGTTATAGCCCCATGCAACAGGTATGGAAGTAGAAACTTCACGATTTTCAACCTCTAAAAACAAAAAGCAAAGTTTGGAAAGTTCGGAAATGTAATTTAACTTACCTTTAAACACTACAACTGATTTATACAACTGGTATAAAAGTTCCTTGCAATTCCAAAGAATGCCAATTCCAGAGAATGCCACTTGTGAGCTAATTAGTTGTGTACAAGTCTGTTGGTAGTTGACTTTTCTGCTTGCTACTTCTCTCAGTAAATGTAGTCAAATCATGATACATTCTGTTAAAGGTGGAAGGAAGCATCAGCCTTCTCTGTGGCTACCCTATGCTACTTAATATTTAGAAACAATCATTTTTGCATTTGCAAGTGGAAGGAGAATTGAATTTTTGTGTTGCAGGTATAAGGAAATATGAACTAAAGATATTTTTACAGCATTTATTTAATCACTTCCTCTTACACAAGTCAAACATTCAACTTTCAAATGTTAACTGACAATATCTTTTTAACCACAATTTCCAAAAGACAAAAACCACACAAAGTTGGTTAGATCTGTGTATTTGCTGATATTCTCCTAGAGCATGACGTAAATTTATTTGTCACCAAGTTTATGATGACCTACCATCCTTCAAGAATAATTTGAAAATACAGGGTAATGTACGCTCAAGACTTGCAAATCATACCTGGAAACAGTCTGTCCTACTGAAATACTGGAAGAGGAATTACATTTGAGAATAGTAATTTAATCAAATTAGGAGAGCATGTACTACTTAGAATAATGCCCAAATGCTTCTCTAGAAAAAGAAACGAGTACTATTTTACACAGTTGATGTAACACAGGCATGCAAATTCCTTGCTGTGTGCAGATTATAATTTCAAAATGTAACAAAATAAGTAGAAGTAGAGACTAATCACACAAGCTTGATAGGAGCTTCAAAATAACTTTTATTACTGATGAAGAACTATTTTGCTCCTCTTCTACTAAAGTTCCTCTGTTTTTGCCAGATCTCCAAATGAAACTGTTGCAGAACCTCTCTGCAGGTCCCACCTAAGAAGAAAAGAGGAAAAAAATATAAGGATCATTTTTTAAATTAAAGTATCTCATAAAATTTGTTTAAAGCCTAAGTAATTTAAAACACATCTTCAAAGAGTAAATAGTTGAGCTTCACATTACCTGTGATTCGTGATATTTCCAGCCAGTCAGGTAGAAGATCTGAAGTGGGACAGGTACTGAGCCATCACTCTTTCAATACATTTCTGCCATGGAAGGAAGGGAGAAAAAGAAAAGGTACACAGAACAACAGTATTAAGAAATAATAAATTCCCCAAACAGTAAAATTAAGCATGGCATGGCATACTCCTCATAATGACTCCTGGTGAAAGATTTGGGACAGTAAAAATATCTCATACTGGTACATCAACATAGTTCAAATTCTGTCATCGTAATTAGGGTTAAAAATACCTGTACTAAAACAGTATTTAATTCTTTCTTTCTTTTTTTTTTTTTCTCCTCATAGAGGTCAGAGCAAGTAAGTTTTTAGAGTTGATTCAGGTTAACTCCTCAGCTTACTTTCTCCTTAAATCTTACTTCAGGAGTAAAACAGAAGCAGAAAATTCACAGCAGACCACAAAGAAGAAATCTCTGACTTCTGCTTCCCAATACAGAACTGTTCATGGAGTTACTCTCCTGACTCACGAGATTTCAGGAAAAAAAAGTAATGCTTTCACTACTACCATAAGCTTTAATTGAAGTTAAGAAGCAAGCATTAACTATTCCACTTCTGTATTGCTGACACTGCAGTGTATACTTGCCTTGAAAGTCTTCCATAACGTCAGACAATCCTGGATAGTTTACCTGAACTTCATCGCTATCCTGAAAGAATTCAAAAGCTTAATTTTAGAGCAGATCAAGTTAAAACCATAGCATTAAATGAACTTTCTGAACCTGCCACTTCAGTTCTAATTGAACACACTATTACTCAGAAAAATATACTGCCTCAACATTTCTGAAGAACTTTGTTTAGTGGCTCAAACACAATCAAATTTTAATTGAAATGCCATTATTCTCTTCTTAGCTTTAGAAGCAGCAGCAGGAGTGTCTCAAGTTCTTTCAAGCAAATCTAACATTCCCTGACACTTCTCGATGAAGACCATGCAAACTCAACTGGGCCACCAGCCAAAGATACACTTCACTTGGTTTCATTGATCTCAGCACAGCCAAGAACAGAGGCAGATCAGACTACTTCAGAAACTTACTTAGCAAAGCACACTTCATGCAAAAGAAAGGAATTACTTATTATGCTTTGCTAATGTACCTGTAAATAGCGTTTATTATGCAGCTCTGGTGTTTCAGACCACTTTTTTATTGTTAATTACCACAGTCAGGGTGCTAAAGCCAGCTCCTGACAGATGTCCCAAATATGGCAGTGAACAGAGGTGATCTACAAAGAGAAAATCCCTTTTCCCAGCTCTGCCAGATGCAAAGGGCAGTAAAGCTCATACAGGCTGCCTCCCCCAAATGCTGCACCAATAAATACTCCATCTCAATTTGATGAATCTACAGCACAGAAGAAAAAATATACTCTTTCTTTTGTTATTAACACTATGTAGCTAAGAAATTCCTGGGTGGCTTTTTTTTTTTTTTTAATGAAATTAAAAGCAATCTCAGATAAAAGTATTTGCAACAGGGAACTTCTAAAACAATAACCTCAAATAATTTTCTTCCAAAAAGGTACAGTTTAAGACCACTTGGATACTTTTACTTTCTCAGAGGAAGGCAACGTGAGTGCCTCATGTACTCCTTAAGAGATGCACAGGCCTTGATTTCCAACAGTGATTTTTGCACTTCTATGCTCGTGGCAGAGCAGTGCCATTCTTATTATGTCTGTTCTATTTTTTTTTTTTTTAAGATCTAGGATGAACAGCAATATAGCAACTAAAATGCCAAGGCTGATGGGCTGCTTTCCTTTCCCAGATCCTACTGAGAATGTCAACCAATTCAGTTTCTTTTTTATATAAAGAATTGCCAATAACTGCTGGTTTAGAAAGAACCATTTTACATAATCAAGCTAACAAGGCAGAAAATGCCACAACTAATGCACCTCGCTTACTGATTTGAAACAAAAGCCCTTTAAACGGATGTTTCATTGAGCATTAATCACATTACCTCTACCCACGCTAAAAAAATAAATCCTTTAATTGAGCAGCAAGAAATTTAAGCAGATGAGAACAGTTTCCGTTAGCTAAAGACAGTGGTACCAAAGCAGAAAACGAGCATCCCAGATGGAAATTCACCAAGACCCACAGTTTCTTGCTCTTCTGGGGGCATCATAACAGGTTGTGTAATTTTATTGTGGTGGTAAAACTATTCCACGCTACAGAATAATTAATTTCCAGAGAAAATGGTGTACCTCCAAGGGGTTATTTTTAAAAAATTCAAATAAATACTGGGGTATTACGATTTCTAGCTTTATTATCCCATAACAGGATAGTCCTGTTTGTATGAAGAGGTGACAGGACAGCACTGCAGTAACACTGCAAAAAAATAACCGTGTGTAACACGAGCTATTCATGCGGCCATTTTGATTTAAACAACAGGATGTTAAAATACCTGAGGTAAAACTGGTAACCACGTGGAGGCTCGGCCATAGAATCGCCCAGGTTGGAAAAGCTCACCAAGCTCACCAAGCTCACTCCCGCCACGCCCACTGACCTCATCCCTCAGGCCAAAGTTCGCGCCACCGCTCCTACTACAGCCGCCATGCTCGCGGCCGCGACTTATCTTACGCCCTGCGCATGCGCACGGCGGAACAGCCGCCGCAGTTCCGCCGCCGCGCCGTGCGATTGGTGTGAATGGTGTGTCCCGCCGCGGCCGCCGTAGCGCTGCTGGCCAGCGGCGTGGTGGGCCCGTGCCTGGCGGAGCGGCGTGTCTCAGGTGAGGCGATCGGCACGGCTCAGTGCGGGGTGCGCGCCTCCGCGGCCGGCGTCGAGGGGGTAGGAGGGCTGTGTTTCCCTCAGATCGGTCGGTGGGGAAGAGCTTTGTTGTGTTAGCTCCTAAATAGTGTTTTACGGTGTGAAGCGTGGGGAGTGCCAGCCTGAGGTCTGGCTTGGGATGGAACCTTTTGGGTTCCGTAAGGGCTCGTTTCAGGGACCGGCTGAACGTGAGCCAGCAGTGTGCTCAGGTGGCCAAGGAGGCCAACGGCACCTCGGCTTGTGTCAGCGGGAGAGCAGCCAGCAGGAGCAGGAGGTGACCGTCCCTCCTCCGGGAGGGAAGTGGTGGGGTCACCTGGAGGTGTCCCAGAGCCGTGGGGATGTGGCACTGTGGGACGTGGGTGGTGGGATGGGGTTGGACTTAGTGATCTTGGAGGTCTTTTCCAACCTTAGTGATTCCTGCACGTGCATTTGAGGAGAATAAACTAATGTAGATGCTAGAAATCTTGCTTCTATTTTTTGTTAATGTGTTGTGTTTTTTTTTTCTCTGTGTGTGTGCGCATGTTTTTTTCATTCCAGACTTCAGTGACATCAACAATGGCATCCCAGAAGGAAATACTGAGCGATGGGCGGTTCAGCCGCGTTGCTCGGGATCCCAGGTTTTGGGAGATGCCAGAAAAAGACCGGAAAGTCAAGATTGACAAACGCTTTCGAGCAATGTTTCACGACAAGAGGTTCAAGCTGAAGTGCACAGTGGATAAAAGAGGTCGACCCGTTAACTATACCTCCGTTGAGAACCTCAGGAAATTCTATGCCTTGTCAGAATCTGACTCTGAACTTTCAGAAGATGATAGCGAAGTACGTGCAGAAAAGAAAAAAAAGAAGAAAAAAGCTAAGCCTAAGGAAGGAGGGGATTCTGTAAAACCAATTCCTCAGGAAGACAGTAAAATGAAAAAACAAGGGGTGGACCAAACACGCAAGGTGGTGACAAAACTAGATGACCCTCAGAATGAAGGGCAGAAAGTTGCATCTAGATTTAAATTGAAAGAGGACTCCAAGAAAACCAGAACAGAAATGGGTGACTCCCAGGGAAATGAGGACCTTTTAAGTGATATGGAAAATGAGGAAGGAGGTGAATCAAAAGGAAGGTCGGTTTCGGTTCAAAACAAGCAGAAGACTTCAAAGCCAAGAGTTGCTAATACAGTTAAAGCTGCAAAGAGGGACTGTTCCATACAAGGAAAAATACAAGAATCAGGTTAGTTTTTAAAATAACAGAATTTGGCTGTACTTATTTTGGTATTGTTCCTATTTTATCCATGAAAAACCCTTTTTTCACTAAATCAATCATAGCAGCAGTAACAACCTGGGTTATTACTGATGACAGTGAGCTGCTCACAGAATCAGTACGTGTTCTTCAATAAAGTTGGAGACAGTCATGTCCTTCCCATTGGTGGAGCCAAAACTGTTTGTTAACGTAATAAGAAACATAAAATATCATAGAACAATAGAATGGCCTGGGTTGAAAAGGTCCACAATGCTCATCTAGTTTCAACCCCCCTGCTATGTGCAGGGTCACCAACCAGCAGAGCAGGCTGCCCAGAGCCACATCCAGCCTGGCCTTGAATGCCTCCAGGGATGGGGCATCCACAACCTCCTTGGGCAACCTGCTCCAATATCTCACCACCCTCTGTGTGAAAAACTTCCTCCTCATATCTAACCTAACCCCCCCCCATCTTAGTTTAAAACCATTCCCCCTTGTCCTATCACTATCTGCCTTCATTGTGTATCAGTTGGTATGGCTGTCAAAGTGAATATTAAGTATAAGATCTGATGCCATGGTCACTTTAAGTGTAAATTTTTGGTTATTGAAAGTGTAAGAATGGCAGTGCTAAGTCCTTAGTATAAGAAGGAATTAGAGAGCAGGCAACTTGAAGAATAATTTCTTATTATTCTTTTTGTGTGCATATAGCCTACATTGTTCAATTCTGTTTTTATCTCTTGGTTCTGTATATGTAAATAGAATGATATCATTGTCAGTTTTAAACCAGTAATACAAGTATGGGACCAAAAAGCAATAAATGAGAAATAGAACACCTAATACTAATGTTTGAATTCCCCTGATGTAATTTGTTCCTGCATTGTTCTACCCTCCAGAGATTCTTTTAATCAGTATGAAAAAAGCTTAAGATATTTTTTCCTCTCTGTAAGAGGTCATTTGAGCTTACAATAAAGTCAGATACCTAACGTTTGTGTTTTAGTGACTGCCTGCAGAGACAGCGGTGCTGAGAGTGACATTGGTGAAAGCCAATTAGAGGAAGAAATTTCTGCAAGGGAAAGTTCTGAGTATACACAATCAGAAGAGGAAGAGTTGGAAGACAATGGTGAAACAGGCAAGGACGAGGAGTCAGAAGACAGTGAGGAAACAGATGAAGGTGGTGGTGATTCAGAAGATGATGAAGAAAGTGATATAGAGCCTGATCTGGCTAGAGGTATAGGGAACATTGAAACAAGCTCAGAGGATGATGACGACTTAGATGATCTATTTCCAAAGGAGCCAGAGATTGAGCATTCATGGGGTGAACTAGATAAAGATGCCCCTCGTGGAGATGAGGTAAAATTGCTTCTGCACGTGACAAGTTATGTGAATAACTCAAAGATGTACAGTCATAAGTTCATTGTAGACTTTTGCCTATGTAACAACTTGAAGGTATTTTTCTGAACAGTTTTTGGACATTTTTGATCACAAAATGCAAGTGATGATGAAGTTGGCCATGAATGTGAGGCTTTAAGTGTTCTCTGATGTCTCCCTCTGTCTCTAAGCAGAGGGTTATCTACAGATAGATAAGCTCTATCTGTAAAAAAAAAAAAAAAAGCAAATGGAACTGTGCTTTTAGAGGAATTCTGGCATTTAAATAGTACTGCTGTTGTTGGCTACTGATTTGTTTTTCACTTTTTAAATATGATTTCTCTAATTCAAGCTTAAAAATTAAGAAATTATTTGACAATGAAGCAGGACTTTAAAATTGTTCATGTTTAGTGCATGCAAAAATCACAGTACTGTAGTGCTGTACAATATTGTGATAGTTATTGCTGTTGTGACTAACCACATGTTAACAAAATCTGAAGTGCTGGTGTTATAAATCTAGTCTTAATTCTGTTATTAGTGCAGTCTAGCATACCTGTTGTTACTTGACCACTTGGATCTTTCTATCTGCTGCGTTGGTTGGTGCTTCGAGCCTTTAGTAATTAAATAGATACCAAGTCTTGAGGAAAATGCTTTTTGTATTTTTTAATTAGAGCTTATTGCTGACTTCAATATTTACATAGAACAGTTGTTAGAGAATTGTATATTCTCCATAGTGGTCAGGAATTAAACTTTTTTTTCTCCCCATTCAGATTACAAGCAGATTGGCAGTTTGTAACATGGACTGGGATAGACTTAAAGCTAAGGATTTGCTGGCTTTATTTAATTCTTTCGTACCCAAAGGAGGAACTATATTTTCTGTAAAGGTAAGACCTGATTTCTAAAAGAAAAATAGTGGCTTTTTACTGTAAAGTTGGGGGAAAGCCAACAAAATAAAAACAAAGTAATATAATTATCCGGAAGAACCAAAATATGATAAATGAGAATTGGCACGTGTTGCATCAGGGCCATGCCCTCTGCCCTGGGCAGCCTGTGCCATGCCCACCACCCTCTGGGGCACAGCCTTTCCCTCACCCCCACCTGCCCTCCCCTGACAGCTCCATGCCTTCCCTCAGCCCTGCTGCACAGACAGCAGAGCTCAGCGCTGCCCTCCACTCCCTGGGAGAACTGCAGCTGCCATCGGGCCTCCCCTCAGCTCCTCTGCACTGAAAAAACCAAGGGACTCCAGCTGCTCCTCATGCGTCTTCCCCTCTAAATTCTTTACCATCTTTGTAGCCTAAAATATAAAGCATAACTGCTTTCTAGCAATGGGCTTGGATTCTGAAGCTATTAACATATTCTGTTTATGATGTTGGCTCCAAGTGCTGTTTCACTGAGATTAATAGTGAAGTTTTCAAAACCTAGTAGAGGGAGACTCCATTGCCTTAGCTAGATTGCTTTTCAGTAGTCTGTCTAGTAGATAACTCAGCCTTAAACCTGGAGATTTCTAAATGCACTCCAACTCTTTGTCATTGCCCACTATTGTTTGTTTTTCAACAATTTTGAATTATTTGTCAACTGGTTACCTTCTGATCAAAGTAATGTTTTTCTAGTTTTAGCATTTCCCTGCAGCAGAAACTTTGAGTCAGTCTAGTAGCCCTTTCTGAAGAGGGCCACAGTAAGATGAAGTTACTGCTCCTATTCATTTTCATCTGTCTCAAAATATTCTCCTTTTTAATGGTCTGTTCACTTCATTGTCTTTTCTTTAAGGTTAAGGCATTAAAACTTGTGGAATTGAGCCCTTTATCTTTCTCTAAAATCAGTGAGCTATTAAAGGCTTGGTGAAATCTTATTCTTAATTGGTATACAATTTGCTGCCACAGTTAAAACTCATGTTTGTATTGTTTTTATTTCTAGATTTATCCTTCAGAGTTTGGAAAAGAAAGATTGAAAGAGGAAGAACAGCAAGGGCCTAAGGAGCTGTTTGATCTTCCAGAGAATACCACAGAGAAAGACGAGTATTAACTTAATCTTCCAATGAATCTAATTCCCTGATCAGCTACTTGTTACAGAACTTAATTCACTGGACTCTCCTGTAGACATTTTCATTTTGTAGCTTTTTCAAAGGATATATCAGGCCTAACCCTAGTTCAATAGGGATGCATACCATAAATGCATTATTATAAAACTTGCAAAAAAAAAATGTTACTGATAGGAGACCTGAAAATTTTTATTGCACAGCTCATTGCAGTAATAAATTGAATGTGTGGAGAGTTCAGTATGTAATTTTTCTCTACAAATTGCCACTTGCACAAGAAAATCCCCTTTGTTGCTTGCTATTAACATTTTTATCAGCACAACCAAGATGGACCTTAACCTAGCCCAAGAAATCCCAGGTTGAGATCTCTTGAATGCTACCAGCTGCAGCCCGGGCCTGACATTGTCCAGGCTTCTCCAAGCATGGAGTAACCATACTTGTATACGAAAATGCTTTTCACCAGCCTTGCCAGGAGTCAAGGGTGCAGGTGCCAGCTCAGCTAAATAGGCTCAAACACTTTGATAGGAAATATCGACTTCTGCTTTCTGTGGCCTGCATAGAGGCATGCAGAGGTGCTCTGCTGTATGCCCAGTACAGGGACTCTAACCTCACAATGCTGGTAGGAGGCAGAGTCAGATAGAGTTGCAACTATATAACATATTGAAGTGATTAGAACAATGCTAGTAATTTAAAAAGTTGGGAAATTTAATAATTTCAATCTTAGAACATTAGCTCTTTGGGTGGAAAATGCACTGAGTGAAACACAACCTCCTTTAATTAGAACTGTGTGAATTATTCTTTTGAGTAAAACTGAATAGGTATTGGTAGAATGCCATGTTGTTTAATATCTAATCTTATTAAAGGATAGGGAGAGTGTTTCAGTGCTGCATATATTTAAGGAGTTGAATTAAAATATTTTGCAGATGAAAACTTGTTTAAATCAGCTCACTTAATTCTGTTGTTTTCTGCTTTTGCAGGCTTTATAAGGAAAAATTGAGGGAGTATCAGTTTAAGCGACTGAAGTACTTCTATGCAGTTGTAGAATGTGACTCTCCTGAAACAGCCAATAAAATTTACGAGGAATGTGATGGACTGGAATTTGAAAGTAGCTGCTCTTTTATTGACCTCAGGTAAATCTAATGGTGGCTCTCCTATATACCCAGAGGGGGAAAGGGCACAAATTTAAAAATCGATTTAGAATAATATGGATTGGACGATATTTATTCTTTCACCATAGTTGAGGTTGTTACTATTTTTAAAATAAATTCAGCATGCAATGAGCTGTTAAGGTATGGGAGGTAGTGGTAGTTCCATTTTTTTGTTGTTGATTTTTTTTTCTTATTTGTTCCTTAAGTATTTTTATGTAGAAATGGAGATTTTGAGTGTATCTGTACATAGAGAAATTACAATAATTCCAGTTGAATATTCGATCCTGTTGGTAAAATTAAGCAATGTTTTAAGATACATATCAAGAAAACATCAACTTGCAACTCCCATATTTAGAAGTAGCTTTTCTTTTTCATTTCTTGTCTATTTTTCTGGATTGATAGCACAGAGCACAAATATAGCTGCTTTTTTCTGAAGCTGCAGTAGATCACCATGTTACTCCCTATGAGCTGGAGGCTCTAATATTTCATAAGTTGTGTTGGAAGATTAATAATTTTAAGTTACAGTTGTGCTTTGGTGCTAGTATTCTCTTTTGTTATGAAAGAGCCTGCTAGTCTAAGCAGAAGAGAAGTAACTAAATCATATTAGTCTTTGAAGAAGCTTTGTCTACTGGAGGCTGTGCTATGGGCACTCTTGGAAACTATGAAAGATAAGTTTCAGGCCAAAAGAGCATGTAATTTTTCATGCTTATGTAATGGCACTACAGCCATCACAATGAGAAAATTGTTTAAAATAAATAATTCTTACCTGTCTCCAAAGATCTAGGCTTGCAGAAAAACTCCACAAAGGAGGGATCTTCAGTAAGAGAACCTTCCTTGGTGGCAGTCAGCCTTTAAATGAGGTCTAAGAGGGGTAGAGCCTAGCTCCACCCTTGTGTTATTACAGATGAATTACCTTCATCTGTGCTCCCAGGGCTGACTGTGTCTTTTCTCCAGGTGCTCAATCAGTGGTTCAGGCCTTGACTCAGCAGTTCCTATACACTCCACCCCTTCATGGCCTGAACCACTGATTGAGCCAGCTGGAGAGTGAGCCTTCCCTGATACAGAGGTCTAATGCGCCATGACACTCATACAATTGCCTGTTGTGATGCAGGTTGACACAGTATAAGATGATTGATGATCAGTTTGTGGTTGGAGTTCATGTTCTCTCATGGGTCAGTGCTTGATGGTCTTACTGGAGTCATGCAGTTGTTAGGGTGCAGGTCCATCTTATGTTCCATCAATCCCACATAGACCATGGCCAGGTGTCATGCTCCATCTCACAGTGACATTTCACTCCTTCTGGTGATCCTAGGAACTCTTAAAGACACAGAGCAGTACAGATGTTTCACAGGTACCAAGAGGGGAAGGTCTGCCCTCTAAGGCAAGATACAGGCCATATTCCTGTCTTGAGTCAACACTTCGGCTTGCTCTGGGGCATATCTCAACTGTCTGTTCCACACCCTTTGGCCAGATATCTGTGACTGCATTACTATATCAGGCACCAAAGGGGGATTCTGATCTGCCATAGGGACATGATGAGGGTTCCCTTAGCAATGATGACCAGAGTGTTGACCACAATGTTGGTAGACCATGTACTGATTACTGGAGAGACTACTGAGCCTCCCACCTCCAATAGTCTCCCCCAGGGTGCAAGTGGGCCACACCTCTTCAGTCCTACTTGCACCTTCCAGGGCAATTCTATTCTGTGGGTACAGAATCCTAAATTGTCAGGGGCAGGGAGCAGAAGATTATTTTCATTAACAGTTTGGGGTCTTGTCAGTGGGCAACAATTGTCAGTGTCCACAATTTAGATTCTTAGAGGGGAAGCCCGAGTTATCTGAAGCATCTTGAGGGCACTGGGTCTGCCATCCGTAGGTCTTTTGTTCAGCTTCTGCAGGGTTTCATGCAGTCTCTCTTCATCCACCCTTGCAGGGATGGAGAGTCTATCTTCAGAGCTGCCTTAAGGATGCTATTATAACATTCAGTGAGGCCTGTTCCCATTGGATTATACGGCAGATGAAATCACCGTTCAGTGTTGTTCTCTTGGATGTCAGGGGGAAATTCTTTACAGAGAGTGGTGAGGTACTGGAACAGCTGCCCAGAGAGGTTGTGGATGCCCCGTCCCTGGAGGTGTTCAAGGCCAGATTGGATGAGGCCCTGGGCAGCCTGGTCTAGCATTAAATGAGGAGGTTGGTGGCCCTGCATGTTGCAGGGGGGTTGGAGATTCATGATCCTTGAGGTCCCTTCCAACCCTGGCCATTCTGTGATTCTGTGTGATTCTGTTCTCTTCTGCCCAGCGCTGTACCATCGTGCCCATGAAGTGTGTACCTTGGTCATTCTTGATGGCCTGTGGAGTCCCATAACCCACCTCCAACTTGGTTAAGGCCTTGGTGGTGTAGGCCTGGTTTGCTTTTGGTACCAGATAGACCTGCATCAGTCCACTTGCCACATAGACACAAGTTAATGCATACCTGGCCCCCTCAAAAATCACAGGGGAGGGCCTATATAATCAACTTGCCACGTTTGATGAGGGTTATGTCCTCTGGCAATGTGGGCAGTCATCTCTGGCAAGGGTTTTGGTCTCATCCTCGAGCAAGCGTCGCAATCATGACATGCCTGGATGATATCTGACATTGTTATGTGCAGCCTCTGTGCTTTGGCTGCTGGCCACATCGTCTTCTGTCCAACATGTCGCAGCTTCTGGTGTAGCCACTGGGCAGTGTTTTCAGAAGGAGAGTGCTCAAACCACCATACTTGAGCCAGCGTGTCAGCCTCATCATTTCCTGGTGACTGCAGGGGGTGATGTCCCTAAATGTGGTAGACACGTATGGTTCTGTGTTTAACCACATTGCATTTGTCTAATCACACCTCCTGGCCCCAGATTATTTTGTGTTGATATGAATAACATATTATCTACCTTTAAGATTTATTCCAGATAACGTTACATTTGATGATAAGCCAAAAGACACAGCTTCGGAAGTGAATGTATCTGGATATAAGCCAAAGTACTTCACATCTGCTGCAATGGGAACATCAAAGGTATCTTTACAATGTTTTCATAATGTTTTTCTAATTTGTTTAGTTTTATTGTCAGCTTATAAATGTTAGAAGTAGTGGGGAAAACCTTCCTGTTTTGTTCACCACTTCAAAATGGAGACATCAAACATACTACAAGATTCAAGCATGTTATAGAGTCCCAAGTTGTGACCCCATAAATGAGCTTCTTTGTTAAAAACTGAAGACTACATTTTTTACTTAATTTTATGCCTGTTTCAAGTTGCACGTGGACTTACTTTGTTATCTACAATTAAATCATGTAATTTGCTGAAAATGGCTACTTGGGTGCAGTTCAACGAGAGTGTTTTTAGTGGTAGTGAAAGGCTTAAACAATTGCTTCCCCTCCTTGTAGTGATCCACTTTACTCAGTCTTATATGACAGCTGAAACGTTCATCTGGCCATGAAATGAACTATACTGGAGAAGAGATTAGATGAAAACCAAGTTGTTTCTGTGGGATGGTTTGCCAGATTAGTTTCATCTTCTAGCTGAGGGTGCAGTTGTGCAAACACTTTTCTTGTCCCTGTTGCAATCCATGTACGATTCCAGGATCCTCTAGTGCTGGAGGAGGAAAGTTGGTGACTACTGCTTCAATTCCAGTATCTGCTGCCATAAAGGAAATTTGGCTTACAGAGATTTAGTGTTGTGTGACAGGATGTTACGGAACCCTGAAATGCAATAGGAAACTTCTTCATTCTTTCATGTAGTTAAAACTCCTTGAAATGCTTTTTTGAAGTAGAAATCAGAATTGTAATTCAGTTGATTTTAATAATTGACTATTTTAGGTAATTGTTGTGTTATCTATACCATTTAAGAAGCAGTTTCTTTTAAAAGTCTGCTTTAGAATGTTTAATTTTAACAGATTGGCTTCTACAAGCAGCTATCCTATTTTTAAGGTAGATATCACATGGGATGAAACAGATCACGAACGAGTAATGTCACTTAGCAGAACTTTTAATAAAGAGGAACTTCTGGACATGGATTTTCAAGCTTACTTGGCTTCATCTAGTGAAGAAGAGGAAGAACAGCAGCAAGGTACCTTCATTAATAAATGTTGAGCACAAAGTCATTAGCTACAGCATTTTAAATGTGAGTCAAATGTATAAATTCCATGTAATTAGAAAATACTTTGAATGTTTCCTTTTACAGTGACAATATTATACTTATTATTGAAAAGCTGTGGTCGGGTTCTCTTATGAAAATAGCCCACCTTTCCCCCGGAGCTGAACATCTCTGGAAGTGGCATGTACTTACTCCTTTGTGTGTGTGAGTTTGAGGTGGATGGACATCAGTGGTGAGCTTGATGGTAGCTGTGGTTCACTCCTTTCAATTAGGAAATAAATGGAGTGATGATATAATGCTGACAGATAATGAAAGAAAAAATTTCAGTTAGGCCTGGCGACGTGGAAGCTGTGGAGTTTCTCAGATTTACTTTTTCCCTCTTTCTCTCTCTCTCTTTTTTTTTTTTGCGTTAAATACAGATTTCAGAAACAAACTTCTCCAGTGTTTTGCATATGTAGCAAGAAAACACATATTGAACTTTCTAAAACATCTCTGAAGCCACAGTTGAGATGAATTATATAGGCCTATTTCTGGTTCTTGAAATAAATAATGTCACTGGTATAACCTCAAAGTGGCCAAATTCTTTTTGAAGACAAAGTAAACAATTCTGCTGTGGAACTGAGAAAGTATATTATCTGATTTTGGAAGTACATTAGGGAGACAGATTGACTTAATTTTTTTTTTTACCCTAGCTTTGAAAGAGATTCCTGTTGTTTTGTTTTCCATTTGTCGTGCAAAGTCTCTTTACCTGGTATAATTAAATTTTAATTAAGCCAAGTATAATGATTATAATTGGAGTGATTTCAAGTAGCAAGATCAGAGTTCATCTAAACTGTAGCTCACTTTCTTTATTACTGATCTGTTGATTCTGCTACAGAAAAGATGCTTTTCATTGTACATTTGACTGATTTTTTCTAGAGATTGTGCTAGGCAGGGGGGTTGGAACTACATGATCCTTGAGGTCCCCTCCAACCCAGGTCATTCTGTGATTCTGTGATTCTGTGTGGCAATCCAGTTCATTCTGAGTGAAAAACATCAGAACATTTTCTTGTGTTTTTTTTTTACTGTTCAGAAAGTCTGAAAAATCTGTTGGCAAAAATCATTATTGTCTTAATGTCCACCAGAAGGTGGCTCATTTTCCTTTTCTTGCAGCTGCTGTCAAATGTTCTTTATTTGCTTGTGGAGTGAAAAGAAGGAGTATAGCAATACATGTCACTGCTTAAATTCCTCCCAGCAAAATTCGCAAAACCAGTAAAAAATACCAATTAGCATTCCCTGCATTATCCAGTATCATAGAATCATTCAGGTTGGAGAAGATCATCCAGTCCAGTCACCATCCAACCCCTCCATGCCCACTGACCACGTCCCTCAGTGCCACAACCCCACAGTTCAAGAATACCTCCAAGGACAGTGACTCCACCACCTCCCTGGGCAGCTGTGCCAGTGCTTTTTAAAAGCTTGTTGCAGGTCATATTGTAACTGTATTTTTGTTTTGTTTTGGTAGAGATGATTGGACATACCAACATCTTTTCTCAGCTTTTTTTTTTCATCTAAATACAGGGATTCTAAACCTGGTTACTTTTTCTGGGAATGATACAGGAAAATGCCTGGGATTACTTTATTTATTGCCTTAGGTGTATTTCCTAAGTGTGAAATTCAACTGACCACTTTGAGGCTGTCTTTCATACCTTTACTTTGTCTTTTTAGGGGAAGGTGTAGCTCATGAAACGGAAGATGACAAACCCAGGAAAAGCCAAAAAGATGATGAAGAGCAAATTGCCAAGTACAGAGAACTTTTGCAAAGTATCCAAGAAAAAGAGAAAAAGCAGGAAGAAAAGGATATAGAAATGGAGATTAAATGGGTTCCAGGTAAGCTTTAATGTTTTCTTTTGACAGCACATACGAGCCCTGGAACTTGTTAGATTCATTTGCAAGTTAATTTCACTTGCTCTAATAGCAGAACTGCTCTAGAAAAGAAGAAACTGGCTATTATACTCTCAGTTTGACAGTCAGGCAAATAGAAGCATTTGGTGCCTGCTCAAAGGAATTCATTGCAGTCTGAAGACTGGGAAGGTGTGACTTGTCCATTTTGGAGGCAGCAGGTGTTGCATTGCTTTGGGAGGTGTAGGACTGCAGGCTGATACAAGGACACAACCTGATCTGCTATTGTAACCAGTGAGACCAGAGCCATGGTACAGTGCAGCCCCTCCTCCACTGATGCATAATTTCCATTTGGAAATGTGAATCTCAGTTGTACTATTAATTTTGAATCAACTTGGGCAACTTTTGCTTTATACAAATGCTCCTTTTTTAAATTCTTGTTCTCTGTGTGTACTAATTTGGTGAAATCAATCAAACTGAATGAATTTATGTCCTACCTAGTTCTTCATAAGAGTTTTATTTGAAAACATGCATTGCATTAAAATAGTTATGACCTTTAGTTGTATAATTTGAATAACTTCTGGCGACTATTCTCCCAAATTTTAGAGAAGGCACTTAATATGTGTTATAGGACATGTGCTTACTAGCAAAGCCCATCAACTTGTCTTACTTCAAATGCCCACAGCGTGTCAGTATTTCCATTCCTGGAGTTGCTTTGTTAATACCTTTTAATTCTTAGTGTCACTGAGCATTGGAGGCAGCAGTTCTAGGCCTGAAAGAAACTGCTGAAGAAATGGTCAAAAATAGGTTGGAAGGAAAGGATAACCTAACTCCATGGCAAAAATATCTGGAGAAGAAGAAAGAAAAGAAAATTATAAGATTTTGCAAAGATATTCAGTTGCAGCATGTCATACAGAAGCTGGAAACCACAATGGAACCATTTATGCTAGGAATATGTTGTGTTTATGTGGGTCAAGCATTATTTAATATTGGACAAGAGCATTCAGATTTTGGAAACCTGGATTTAGTTTGTGGTACTGGTGCTCGTATGCCTTGCCTCTCCTGGCTCTTGCATCTGTCAGCCTACTTTGAAACTCCTGTTTATGTCAACCTCCTGGCAAAATTTAGTCTTCATTGATTTCAGACATTTGTAGAGAAGGTCCAGTGCTACTGAAGGGGAGGATTTTTGAGGGTGGAATGTAGTCACTGCATGCTGAGCAGTAGTTTATAGTTCTGGCAATACACACAGCTGAGGTTAGGCTTTCCTAGGGGACAGAAGTACATTAGTTATTATCTTGTTTCTCATTGATCAAATGTACTTATCTAAATTCCAAATGAATTATGTTCCACTTGGAGTATTCTGGGAATTCAAAAGAAGTTTCTATGTTCATCTCTTAAGACTCCTTAAATTAGTTCTAAGAAAGTTCTGTCTGTTGAAATATTTTTATTATCAAACTTTGTCTGGTTCTGATTGATTTACTGCAAAATCACTTTGCTGCCAATACATTTAATATAGAGAGAGTTACAACAGTTGAACTGAAGAATGTTTTCAACTGATAGGTAGACTTGAATTCATTTAAAAATTTGAGTTTGGGCACCAATATTTATTCATGGCTATAGAACACATACTGTGCAAATCATTCTGTTATTCTTGAATCATAATAGCTTTAAATAAAGCACGGTGCCAGCAAAAACAAATTAGGTGCAGTTCCAACTTTCTTTGGTCTGTTTCTTTTAGGCACAAAATCGATGTTATATATTTAACCACCCATCTGCTTTCTTAATCATATCTCATTTGAGAAACAGTCACTATGCATCCATATCCAGCTCTCAAAGTTCCCTTTAGAAGGTGAAGAAGAGGAAGGCCACAGTTGCCATTCTTAATGATATTCAGGCAGGTTTTCATACAGTTTTTTTTTTATTGGACTTGAAAATGTTTAGCCAGGATTAAAGAAAACTTTGACATTTGCTTTCAAGAGAGGTAGACTACCAGGGTAAGGTGCTACATGTAAGATGCACTTGCTCAGTTAGATTTCCTGAGATTGGAGAAGCATCTTTCTAGCTCTTTACAGCTTGCAACTCTCATAATTATTAAATTTTTGGAAATTTCCAAAATAACTGTTTAGAGAAGCATAAATTCTCTCCCACCCATCCTCCCTCTCCATTCCTGCAGTGTGCAAAGCAATATAGTTAAGTTTGGTACAGTATTACCACTTCTGATCATTTACTTCAAGTGTGATTTAACATATATTACCTTTCTACCCTCTTTTCAGACCATAGTTTGTAAAGATTAAGTGGGAATAGTGATTAATTTATTTAAAAATAAAAATAATGTAGATAAGGGGATAAATTAACATTTTCTATGACCAGTTAATAATTCTACCTGCAGTAAACAATTCCTTTCCAATTCTGCAATCAAAAGTCTTTTGGCCACTTGAATACACTGATTCTCAGGAAGTGACCAGTCATTTTTTTCCCCAAAATTACTGAAAAATAATCCAAAGTAATAGAAGTTAGTTTCTGGGAAGCACATGGCTCCACTGTTATTGACTCTGGAGATCAAGATACGTACTATTGAAAAACACTAAATAATGATTCTGTTTGCACCTGGGTTTTTTCCTGACTTTTTTTTTACTGAAAGTCATTGTTTACTCTGGGTATAAATATTATAGCTATAAAATGATAACAGCTAACAGATTCTTTTTTTAAGGTGACATTTCTATGCACCATTGAATGATGCACATTATAGGAAGCTCCATTTTGTTTCCAGAGCAGGATCCAATTATGTTTGGTAATCTGGCCATGGGCTTCAGTTCATAATGTATGTTCAGGAACTTAGTTGTACATTGAATGGTGACACAAAATATTTAGGAGCTACTAGGGTTGTAGTCCTCTGGAAAAGATAAAACATGGTCTTATTTATGAAGATGATCTTATTTATAAAGATGCTGCTGCTCTAACCAATACTTATATTGTTTTCATGGACTTTTTAAAGAAAAATTAAGGAAAAAAAGAAAACATTTGGATTCATCTCATTTTTTTAATTTGCTATTTTTCTTTCTAGGCCTGAAAGAAACTGCTGAAGAAATGGTCAAAAATAGGTTGGAAGGAAAAGATAACCTAACTCCATGGCAAAAATATCTGGAGAAGAAGAAAGAAAAAAGAAATCTTAAAAAAAAGAGGAAGGTAATGTCTGCTGTGGTCAGATGCTGGGGGAGCTGCTGTTTGTTTGTTCTTCTTAAGTCACAGCTCTCGTTTTGGATAAACTAAAGGAAAAAAAGTTCTGTAACGTACAGTACTGTTTTAAGGTTTGAATGTGCAGTGGTCATTCGTTTGGAAAGATTAGAGTGCCTCATGAAGTCTGCAGAGTTAAGGGATGTTCAGCATAATACTGATACAACTTCATTTATCTGTCTGATTTCTAACGTTACTTTTCAATGCATTAGAAAGGGTCTTTTTGTCACAGTATGTTTTTGGTGGAAAGTAGTTAGAATACATAATAGTTGTAATTTTGGATCTTTTCAGCCTAGAATAAAAGAGATGCTTGTTTCCCACACCTGAAACAGCAAAGAATGGATAGCCTTGAAGAACTATTCAACTTTGAAATTGCAAAAGCAAATTTGGTAAATATGTTTGTGTATGAAGAGCCTTTTAGCAATGTGAAAATTGCTGTTGCTTTCTTTTCACACATGGGAGGTAATTGTGTGGTAACTGCAGCGGCAGAGATGTGCAGGAATAGGCAGATAAATGAAATGTTTGTTCTACTACTAGATGTAATAAGGTTCTAATGGTTGTCTTTGTAGTAAATAAAAGCAATCGGGTAGTGATTATGTAGCTAGAACTACATCCTGTGCATGTATTTGGTGGTATGGTTGGCCTACTACAGCACAGTCCGTAGCTGCAGCTGATGGAGTTCCTTGGTCTGTGCAAAATGCTCTTCTTCAGGTAAAAGGAAAGCTTTCACTTTGTGCTGTGGGCTTTAAATTGTGAATTTGTCTACTAGCAATTTTTAGTCAGTTCTTTGATGATGATTCAACATGCAGTATTTTGGTTTTTGCATTCCTAGTTTCTGGCAGAAGAAACATTTAATTGCAGCGAATTTTTAGTAGTTGATACAATGGTTGAAATAATGTTTGTGTTTTGTTACAGGCTACTGCTGAGAGAGACATGAGTGAAGATGAAATTCCCTCTGATGTCGATCTCAATGATCCATATTTTGCTGAGGAACTTGGAAAAACAGGTGAGTTAAGGCAGGTAACTTCTGGAATAAACGTGCCTTTTCTTTACATAATGAAACAAAGAAAGGATAGGTAACGCAGAGGTGGCATGTTCAGAGTGAATTTTCCAATTCAGATTTTTGGGATATCTTTTTTTTTTTTTTGGTGGAGTTTTAGTTAGCTGTCACTGATGATAAATTTCTTCTGAGTATGACTTTGGGGGTTAGAATTTGAAGGTCAGGATAATGAAGATGTGCAGATTCCTGGCTTTTCATGCTTTTGGAAGCCAAAACCTAGGAGTGATTCCTACAACAGCATATTAAGAGTGTTAGCAACAGATTTTCATATGCCACAAGTCAAGAGTAAGCATCCTTTAATTTGACACCAACCACAACAGTCTTGTGTCCTCAAAGTTAGAAGTTTATGTTAGGAGAAAGTAAATAACTCGAAAACAAAAGAAAAGAAAGATGCCACTTCCTCAAGCACCTTCTTGTTTTTCATTAGCAAGAATATGTAGGTACTCTCATACTAGTATTTGCTGTTTCAACATTGAGTGCAAAGTCTCTGAGGCAGCACATTTCCTGCCTTCTGTAAGAAGTTCTTTGTGTCATGGAGGGACTTATTGACTGTAACATGTAAATGTAGATTCACTTTTGACAAGTCGAGGCATTTTAGGGGAAGCAGGATTGTAAGGAAGTGTTGGACACTGGCTCTCAGTTCTTCTATTCTGTTAAGTGCTATGAAAGGAGAACCTGAAGTTCTGTGAAGTCTACTTGAGTGTATATTTGTCAGGCTTGTCTTTGTTCCTGAAACCTGTTTGTAAAGCAGGCAATGATTCTCACAGTGAGCAATGCTTCAGCTCAGGAGGAGGTGCAAAGTGAAGCAGCTTCTTTGTGCCTGGTATGCCCAAAGAGTATCCATGCAGGATATAGGCATATGCAAATTAGCACATCCAAAATTCATGACAGTGCTTGCTAATGTAACAGTACACATAATTGCTGTGCACATAGTACCATGGACAAAGATGTAAAGTGCTGTGTATGAGCCTAGATGTTGTGTTTCATTTATTTTGGTTAGATATTGTCAGGGGGAGGAAAAAGTACTTGTCACTTTTGTTTTATGTTAATACCTACTGTTTTAAAAAGCATTACAGATCTCTAATTTGACTTGTCCACTTTCAGTCCTAGCGTGTTTTTTTCTGTGAAGTCTCAGTAAAGGCTCACATATGGCAATTTTTCTTTCTTTTAATTTAAACTGCTTTAAGGTGTATAGCTGCATAGTGTAATTGCTTATTAACGTGATATCTTCCAATTCAGAATATTCTTCGTGGTGTGTTTGCAAAAGGAGGAAGGGATGGACTTCCAGAATGCGTTTGAGGACAGGGACTATGTCAGGAGTATGTTAAAAAGATGAATGATGCATTTGTGAATTCTGAAACCAAACTGTTTTCACTATGATGCAAAGTTTTTAGTGCTGAGAGTAATTACAACCTCTAGCTGTGCAAGGTCATAATAAGAAATCAGTTTTCCTCTCTGGAAAAAACCTTACTTTGAAACTGGCTTCTGATTCACCCCCATCTGCAAGAACACAGGTTTTTGAAGACTTGAGGACAAACTCTTTCGTGATTATACTTGCAATGAAAGATGAGGGAAGATAATTGGAGGGGACTTCTTTGAGGTACAAGCAGAAAGGCTGAGAGATTTACTTAGCTGATTCTAGAGTAACTGCTATCACTTGGCATCTCCTTGTTTACTTTTCTATCATGTTGTCAGTTCTGCAAAGATAAGAATGATTTCAAAGATGCCACGTAACAATATAATATCTGAATCTGATTTTCTTGCACACTTTCTGGAACTACTAAATCAACAATTCAGTTCTTGGGCTTTAACAGAGTGCTTTATCACAAGAACCTTCAGTCTGAACAGTCAATCATATTTTCATCCCCATGGTTCTGTAAAGAGTCTTTTTTGCATTGTATTCCTAGCACCTGCATAGCTAATACACAGCATAGCTTTAAGTTTACACATAAATTTCAAAATCAATTTGTGTGGGGCTTTCTTGTTTACCTAATATATTTTAATCTTGCTCAGCTGGCAGATTTGGCCTTCTGTTTTAACTGTTCTTATTTGATGATTTCTTCTCAACATTGCTGTCTTCTTGAATAGTGGAAATATCAAGTAGACTTTTATACTCAGTTTTTCAAATCTTACAATGAAGTAAGAAAATGAGATTAAATTTGAGGTGCTATTGATAGATCAATTATGCTCTCATGCATAAACTTGAGTAAGTGTGTGAATGCCCTGTTTTTGCCCATAGGTTTAAAGAAGAAGGCGGAGTTGGTGGAAAGTAACTCAGAAGATGAAGCTGAAGTTGAAAAACAGAAGGTAAAGTGGTTTAAAGTGCACAGATTTACACATAGTGCAGTGCCTGAATTCTGCAAATATAGAATGTATGTGTGAATGGAATTACCCCATCTCCTAACACCATATAACTTTAATGGTGAGAGCTTTTGGAACAGAACCACCAAGGAGAATGGTAGTTGGTCACTGACTTGACATCTTAAGATTATACCAGGATCTCTTTCTGGAAGATTATAGTTGAACATAGCTCAACAGGGTCAAGTTATACTGAAGTGTAAGGGCATGGAAACCAGGCTGGGTGGTTAGTCTCTCTAGCTTTAAAGCATGTTTGTCCTGTAGACTTCTAACATTCTTTCATTCTTTCCCAGAAAATTAACTGTTATTTAATATTGCACCTCAAAACATTAATGTCATTATATATTATATATATTATATTATGTATTATATAATATATTATATCTTATATATTATTTGCAATAATACTGCACTGACAACACTATTTCAACTCATTTATGTACAGTTATACAGATGTGATCAACATGTTTGCTATATTTTTCATAGAAAACTATTTTGTTATGTACTTGAACTCTGTTATTTTGTGACAGGCTGAAATGGCTCTACTTATGATGGATGATGATGATGATGGCAGAAAGCATTTTAATTATAAACAGATTGTGGAACAGCAGAACTTGAGCAAGAAGAAAAAGAAACTCTTAATGAAAAAGAAGGAATTACTAGAAGATGACTTCCAGGTAATGATGTACTTTTGATTTTGAGATTCGACTAGATAAGCTTGGATATTAGTTGTTAGTATCAACTATTTGGGGAAAAAAACTTTACAGTCCCATATCCTTCTTTCTTGCTCTAAGTTGAAGTAGAAGAACTTGTGTCTTCTCTTTTAGGAAGATACAGGCTCTTTTTCAGTTAGATTAATTAGTGTAAGATAAAGCAGTATGCAAGGCCTTGTAAGCTAAGACAGATATGGCCTTGTAAAACTCATTGCTATCTTTGTTCTGATGATTAGCCACTGCATCTTTCACTCTGGTCAGCTGTTAACAAGTAACCTTTCCTTTGTTTGCTGATAGAGACATATGCAGCACTTGTACATGCGTTCACTCATCTGTTCTACTAATATTATCTTTTGATCCTCTACTCCACACTTACGAATACTTATGATTTGAGCAGTTGCAGGAATGGTGAACAATCTCATGAGCTGTTACTCCTTAAGCAGCTCATATTTTATTGTATTTAAAAGCTTTGCTATCATGGGTAAAGGTTACCCAAAATAAATATTATTTTTCCTCCTTCAGGTAAATGTTGTTGATACGAGGTTCCAAGCCATGTTTACTTCCCCCTTATTTAATGTGGATCCTTCTGATCCAAATTTCAAGAAGACGAAAGCAGTAGAAAGGATCTTGGAAGAGAAAGCTCGCCGGAGAGAGCAAAAGCAGCAAGATCTTCATGAGGCAAGCAAAGAGCAGGAGAACAAGGTGGCAAAGAAGGAGACTAAGAAATCCATAGATCCTGCCTTGTCAATGTTAGTAAAATCTGTCAAAAACAAAACTGAACAGTTTCAGGCAAGGAAAAAACAGAAAATCAAATAACTGATCTTTGTTTCTGACTCGGACTTTTCTTTGCAGACAACATCTGTTGAAGTTGCTGTATCTGCTCTAATTCCTATCCCCCTAAAATTCTCAGAAAGGTCATTTAATTCTAGTGGCAAGTTTTAAAGTAACGAGAGCAACAAAAGCCCTTTCCTTCTGCCCCCCAAATTGTCTTCTACTGTTGGAAAAAACACATCACCAAACAACATTTCCATAGCATGCAATGTCTTAAAGGTAACAGAAGTAGTGAAGTTATGTACAGAAGTTAGCCACAATTACAGTTGTATTTAAAAATAAGAAAAACACTTCTGTAGAGAGTTGAGAGCTGAGACTAATTGGTCTTAATGTCATTAATTCTGAAGAAGTCTATAGACACAGTCACTGATTAAAAAAAGGTTTTAATATAATACAAATTGAAGAAGTTCTATATACATCTCTTTTGTGTATTTGAAAGATCTCTTTTGTATATTTTATATGATTATATACATGCTACATGACTAATTTCTCTTCAGAATTTAACTAGATATGGATCTAGTTAAAATTAATTAATGGGGAAAAAAACACCATTTAGAAAATGTCATTTATATATATCAGAAATAAATGATTGAAAATTTGCCCTAAGGAATTTTGGCACTTAACTGTGTTGTTTTTTTTCTTTTGTGCTTAAGTAAGAGTGCAGATTTATACAATAGAATACCAAAGAACACTTGCAGACCTAGAGTATTAAGTGTTGTTGCTCTTCCCACCCAGCTGAACGTCTTCAGACTGATGTTTCAAGTGAGTTTATTATATATAAAGAAAGAACACATTTTATAAAAATGCAAGGGTATTATATAGTGACACAAAATCGTTTGATTCAGCTACGTGGAGCAAGAGAGCAAACAAAATACTAATTATTCAGCAAATTCTGTATTAAATTTTAATGCTTTGTATTTGTGAGCTTTTCACATTTTCTCATCACTGCGGTAGGACATGAAGAGATATTCTCTAAACCTGAGTTTGGAGTCTTTCCATGCATTCTCCAGTGCTTTAACTTAAACCCCCAGTTTTCCCACTTAGGAAGGACTTGAATTTCAGAGATGATTAAATTTTAAAATGCAGATGTTGGATGATTTCATTTTTGGAAATATCTGTCACTAACCATAAATCTGGAAAAGTGGACTCCAGGGTAAATGAGCAAAGGAGCTCCTGTTTAACATCTGTTCTGAGGCACGTTGAGAGAAAGCAGTAAACTGTGAAAGGTTATATGGTGGGGGCAAGCAATTTGTGAGGGGGCATTATGTATTGGAGGTGGCAATACATACAGGGAAGCATTATGTGTTATGAAAGGGCAAGCAGTATACTGGAGGACATTATTTGGGAGGTGGGACAAGCACTACGTTGGGACATTACATAGAAAAAAGAACACTCTATAGGGGGACATATAGAATATGCAGGGTGAGCATTATACATGAGGATGTTATATAGAGAAAAAAAGAACTATAGAGGGGCGTTATATCAGGGAACAGCAAGCACTACACTAGGGTTGTTGTATAGGATGGGTAGAGAGCACCATATGGGGGCACATCATATAGGGGCGGTGAGCACTATCTGAGGGGGCTAAGATCATCCAGTCCAACCCCAGCCCACCCTCACCATCATGTTCCACAGTGCCACATCCCCACGGCTCTGGAACACCTCCCTGGGCAGCTGTGCCACTGCCTCACCGCTCTTTCTCAGAATAAATTGTTCTGAACACCCAACCAGAACCTTCCCCCCAGCCCAACTTAAAGCCTTTATCTTTTATCCTATCACTGTTACCTGGGACCAGTGCTTGGTTGAAGCTCATCCCATTGGCCTCACCCCTTTGATCCAGGCTTCCAGATCCATCTGTATGGTCTTCCTACCCTCAGGAAGATCAACATTTCCTCCCAGCATGGTGTCATCTGCAAACTCACTGCAGGTGCACTCAAATGATCAAGTATGGAGTACTTTGCATACATAAAAATGTCACATCTTATTCAGGCTTTAGAATGTATATTGAAATGTCAGGTCACTTGACAGGAGAAGAAATAGCAAATATTAAAGAGCACCTACCATAAACTTGGATTCTAAATTCCAAGTACAAAGACGAACAGTTAAGTCTATGAGCACAGATTCATTTCTAACCTCACAGGTTAATGCCAAGAAGATAAATGCAGCAAGGTTTAAAATATTCATTTGAAAGTGGATATCACTGCTCTTGCAGGGAAAGGTTTGTTGAGACTACCAAGTTCTTTTTAAAATCAAGCAAAACTTCATAAAATCAGTTTAAATTTGAAAAAAACAAAGCCAAGAAGGAGCATAATGTCAATATAAGGCAACCTTGTTCTGCATAAGGGATGGCACTTGAGCACATGGCTGTTGGTTACTGCTTCTACCCAGATGCGGGCTTATCCAGGTGCATCTACATGTCAAGCAGACAAAAAGAACCATGTTACTGTTCCTATGTTAACCCAAGCATTTTGAGAATTGGCGAAAGACCTTACGTCAGGGAAACACTGAAAGTCATTGACAGATATTGTGTGAAACACCTAGTTTCTGACTACTTTGAGATTCAAAGTCAAAGGAAGAAGTAAAGCTGTTTCTACATGTTTGTAACACTGCGTAGCCTTCTGTACTCATCCACAGCCTCACAGAATGCTAGGCACCATTTCAGAAAATTAGAATTTATTTCCACAGTGCATCTGAAACTCAGTCCTGTCACAGATCAGGTAAAACATGACAAGATGCATGTTCATCCTCACCACTCTGCAGCTTGCAAAGGTGGATCCATAGCAGTTTATGCTTGCTGAAGTCCAACCTGCTGAGCCCTGCCCATTTTCCAGTCCCACTCCTATCCTCACAAAGTTGGCAAGAGCACATGGAGAGAGGAGGGCTGCTCCATTCATTCAGTCTTTAACCCAAGTACAAAGTTCAGCATGAGCTGAGGACACAAAGACGTTGATTACCTGTCCTTCCCATCAGAGACAAAAAAAAAAAACCACCACTTCTGTGCTGTGTTTATTAATATATGCTCAAAGCAATGGCATTGATATCTACCACTGCAAATCAACTTCCATCTTCAGGCAGGCACTGGCCACTGACTCGTGCAATTACTGTTGTGAATCTTGCAGCTGCTTGCTCAGACTCTCATATCTAGTCAACTTACTGAATGCTTATTCTTACTTCTCTTTTGCCTACCAACAAAATATAAATTCAAACAAATATATTATTATGAAGCAGGTTACAAATCTTTTTTCCTGATCTTTGCACAGAGACAGATGGAACTGTTCTTATTCCTACTTGTAGGTGTTGGTAGAACACCCATTTTGCTAACCTAAAAGTGAGAGCAGGAACAGTATCAAATAGGCCCTGTTGGCTACAAAAGATGCCTCTCAGATTCTGTAATTAAAATAAAATCTTCCTAAGTGGCTGTTAGACTACAACTTACAATACAACACCTAATTCCATATCATGTTTTGTTTTAAAGCAGCAGCATGGCTTTGGAGTCCAGCCTCTGTTTGCCAAGGCCATGAGAACATGGACAGGCCTGAGCAACCCTGTGAAAACTGGCAATTAGAACTGAGAATTACACCTACATCTTTCCAAACTTTATGTCCTGGAGTGCTTCAGAGAGTATTTCAAACTAAGTCCTAAGATGGAGGCCAATTTTAAGTAGGACATATGTAAGCAAATTCTTATTTAAGACAATGGAGTTGCATTCTTTCGCATTGTATTTATTGATGGCCCTAGGAGTGCTAACATAGGAAAAGGACATTTTCACAGAGCTGTGGGCCAGAGAAGGTTTGCACACGATGATGAGGTACAGTACATGGCATCATCTAGAGAAAACATGCTGCCGTGTTAAATCTGACTGACAAAACCTCTGCAGAGGAACGCCCACCATTAAATCCAATACCAAAAAATGCATTCATCACATCATGAGTTCATCACATAATCAGCACCTTTTTTTGGACAAGCAATCCTTTCTGCAAAACATACAAAATTTCTTTACATTCAGCAAAACTAAGGGTTGTCTTGAAAAGGTGGCAAGGCCATGGCATGAAAGGGAGAGACTGACCCTAAAGAATGCCCACAGCCAACTCATCCCCCAGCTTTGTCCAAACCCTCACCCTGGCTGGCACACATTCCCGTGGGAACAATGATCAGTATCATTTTACGACTCCAAGGTCCTTTCTCTGATGTCCTCTGCTGTTTAAGAGATGAGGGAGAGATGTGGAAGAGATGTGAAAGAAATAGGCTGAATGTGCCAAATGAATCAGCATCTTGCTAGAAGTCTGGCATCTTGAGCTCTTATCTTTAGTCAGAGAAGACAAGTAGCACGTGAACTAAGATTTCATTAAAGCTTTGTCATAGACAAAGCAATCCTCGTGTAACTTTGGATAAATCAGCTATTGGTCACATTTTAAGGTCTCCCTCTGAACCACTGCCATAATATACACACGACCTTCGTCACAGTAAGCTAACATCAGTGTTCTTCCTTGTTTTCCTCTGGCGTATTTCTAGCTGTTGTGCTGTAGGGTCCAACCTTCAGTGCCCCTCATGCCTTTTCCCATATCCATTAGAGCACTGTTTGTCTGCGTTCAGTGCTTTTAAGTCCTTCTTGGCATAACAGTAGAGAGTGACAAGGTGATAATTCTCTTGCCACAATTTAAAACAAACAAACAACCCCAAAACAGTAACCATGCTACTTCATACCATCTGGCAGTAAGTGTCTCCCATCTGTGCAACAATTCTAAATGAAATGTAGTGTAGTTTTCAACTACACCTGGATAACATCACCTTCTTCCACTTTACTCTTCATTCAAATCTACATCACAGCTAAAATCTGGCAGCAATCTCCTCTCTAAGAGGAAATAGCAGTTGAGCAATTAAATGTGAAAATTCTATGAATCACAGTAGATGAGCCACGTGAACATGGATATATATTTTTTTCCATTACAGTCCCAGTGCTTTGTGGTCTCTCCATTGTGAGACTGGTTTCACAAGGAGAGTTTGCTCCTCCAACTTTCCTTTTACACACGCACAGACCATGGCTTAAAGGTCCCTGGCTCAGCAGAAGGGCACTGTAAAGAGGAGAAAAAAGTTACTGTAAGCAGCAGCAAGAACAAAGGAGGGTTCTGATCTGGGTTCAGAGGTTCCCTTTGGGGCAGGTGATTTTGTATCATGGAAGATCTGAGCTCATATTGAAACAGAGACATCTGTCTCATGGCATTGCATTGGGCATTGTGCCTGGCTTTAGCTGAAGGCCAGGCTGTCAGTGCTTCGTGCAGACCCTCAAATTCACTTTGGTGGCCTCCTCCCCATCAGACAATGATGCAAGTGTTTGGTGAGGAAGACTTTTGCTATTAACAATAGCAGGGTTGTAGCTGACAAGGCCCTGGCGGATGCCCATGTGAACAGACAGCAAAGTTTTACAAGTCACAGCAGAACTCTGTGCAGGGATCCACTCTGCATGGCCCCGTCACAGCACTGTGACAGAGAAGGAGCTCATGAAGAGATGGCAGCAGTGTTAAATCCTGCACTCCTTCAGGGCAAGCCCAGACCTTCTAATGAAAAACCTGAGATCGTAACATTCAGCACAAGCGAGCATTTCCAGTAACACTTTCTCTCTATCCAAGGGAGGCTAATAAATCAGAGTGGGCCTGCAGTGTAGAATCCCCAAGAGATAACGGTCAGGAGCATCAGACCAAGTCAGAGCCTTTGTTGTACAAACTGCATTTGGAGGATGGAGGGATGAAATGCTATTTCAGACATACTGCCCGTCCTAGCCCTAGCAATGCCAGTCTGTACATTTGTCTTTCATCTGATGGTACATTAAGTGAAGGATAAGGCCCGTGAAATAAAAACCAGCTGCTTAAGTACAACCACAGCTTCCCCATACTGCCCTAATCACAGCTCTGGGCACAGGTCTAGCACACAGTGTGGGGTAGACTGGTCAGGGCTATGAAAGCACAGTTACCATTTTTGTGAAGGTGTCCACACAGGCATTGCGGATCCTCTCTGGGGTGGCAGGGCTGTCCAGCCTGAATGGTTCCGTCACACCAGAGTCTTCCCTTGCTGAGTAGATAGCATCTTTAATGGCATAAAACACTGAAGCAGACAGGAACAGAGGTGGCTCTCCCACAGCCTAGACAGAGCAAAAGCAAAATGAGACTGCAGCTCAGTCCTGGCCCTGGGAAAACCAATGAGGCTGAGAGAAGGATGAGCAGGTCCTAGATGACAATCATTGTTCTCATTCCTGTTTTGTAACTTCTCAGTCTCCTAGATGTGATCAACAAGGAAAGGCTGCAACAAAAAAATACTTCCCCTTCCAGGTGTGAATCTCAATCTATCAAGAAATAGGAAATAGCAAGCTAAAACTGCTTCCAGTTTACCAGGTGTGAACAACTCCCATTCCATCATAAAAAGAGACAGTATGAAAATATAAGACTTGTAACACAGGAGGACTGCTATAACGGGAAAAAAGATTAACCCATTTCCAAACATCCCTTTGAATAGTACAAAAACTGCAGCAAAGGCAATGCAGGTGAGGCAGAGGTGAGCAGAATGGGCAGAGCACACGATGTCCTATCACTGGAGGTCCTTGCAAACCAGCAGGAATTCCTCTCTCAGGGATTACAGAAGGGTTGGACTGGATGGCCTTTACGGGTGCCTTCCAACTCAAACCATGCTACGATTCTATAATATTACAATAACAAAGTCAACTGTTCTGACACACGCATCGTCGTTTTATCATGCATTCATACAAGCCTAGAGAAGTAAGAGGCCTACAGGTCATGCAGGCTTACCTTGGATGAATAAATTGCCTTGCTGTTGGGGCAGTCACGGAGAAGAGACACGTAGAATTCTGTTGGGATGTCTCCAAACGCTGGGATTTTATACATCCCAGGCCCTCGAGTGTACAAGTTCCCTTCAGGTGAGTAGCGCAGCTCCTCCATGGTGAAGAGCCCGATGCCTTGGACAAAGGCTCCTTCTATCTGCACAAACATCCAAACAAGGTTGTGTTCTTGACTCACTGTTGCTGCCCCACGCAAGAGCAAACAGTGACAATTTCAACCAGAGTTTTCCGTCCTCTATTCCTGTCTAAATCTCAACTTTTCATCTCTAAATGCTTTTGTTGATTACAGCTTGGTACGTACATATATTGATTCCTTCACAGGCAGATTAGCACTGCATGAGTAGTACTTGCTGATAATTCAAAGGAGATGAAGAAAATATATCTGAAAACAAGCGATTTTACATTTTGTGTTTCTATATTATATATTTCCATATTTCAGCACAAATGCTTTCTCAAGTACTGCTTATTCTCAGGTCAGCAACACAAAGTGCAAAAACACTCCCATACCCACCCAACCATTAAAGTCTTTACATGATTTTTCTACTGTAAATCTTAGAAGGAAGAAAAAAAAATTCCTTAACCCAGCACCATGTGCCTGTGGTCCTGCAGCTACACAGCCTCCTTTCTCTCTTTTTCTCCCAGATCCTCTGCAGCAATCCATGAGGGACGCAGGAAATTTCTTTGACAGGCTCCATATAACCCATCTCTTTCTTTCCAGCCCCAGGCTGACAGGCTGAGAATACAAAGGTTCCCTTTCCCCTCAGCCACTTCAAAGAGAACACCTCTTTCTGAAAACTTGTTGCTTTCAAAGTTTCATTTCATCTATAGCAAACTCGTGTTACGGAAATAAACCCTGCAGCTGCATCAATAGGGTTGCACTATACTGACACCTACAGTTAGCAAAGCAGTTGGGTTGTTTTGACTAGGCAAGCATAAGCAAATGCCTAATGATACATGTCAGCGTATCAGATAACCTTGTGTTAACTACCTTTTTTTGCTGACTAATAAGTCAGTCAGTCCCTGCCAGGGAACCTTGTTACTGAGATCCCCAAGCAGCAGTACCTGGTGGATACAATCCACTGCCCCAGTTCTCAACACAGAGTAATTTTCACTAAATTAAACAGGGCTTGATGTTGACAGATAGACAGGAGTGTAGAAATCAACTGCAGGATTTAGTGGATGTATTCCACATAGCAGAGACTGGCCTTGGAGTGGGGTTATTTCACTGCAATAATACTCTCTGGATTCATAATCCTGTGCCTACTGCATAGTTAGTAGAGTCAAACTTTCATAGCCAGCCTAACATGCCTCACTGGACACTCAATTTAAATTTGCAAAGGCACAAGCTAGAGCAGGTTAATGATCTCTCTAGAAAAGCTTGAGAGCAAGGTGATCTTGAACATGGTGAAATTAGTGAGACTACTTCACTTACCTGCCCTATGTCTATGGCTGGGTTCAGGCTGGTGCCAACGTCCATAACAACGTCTGTGCGGACGTTCTAAGAGACAGAAACAGGGAATAAATCAGCACAGATGTTGAAAATGGTACACTGTGGTTTCATTTGAGGAAAAGGAATGCATCCACCAGCACCCAACCTTGGCCAGTGTTCAGCAATCTGTGTCAAGTTCAGTTCTTCCCACTATCTTTTAAACCAGTTCACCCCTAAAGCAAAGTAAAGCAGTGCAGTTTCCCCTGGAGATTGATTGGACCCAATCTGTGTTAGTTCGAAGCTGCTAGGGTCAGTGCTCTGTACCTGAGCACAACCCATTAATTGGAAGGTCAGATTCTAATGAGCTGTCTTTTCTTCTTCCTTTCTAAAAGATCCCAGGGCTATTTTTAATAATTAACTCAATTCTGATACATTGGTGTTCCTTTGTGCTAACACAGAGCTGCTATCTCTTACATAAGCAAATCCCATAACTTTTGCAATCATCCAGCCAGCCCCATAATACCCCTGCAGGGCAGATAATCATCATTTTATTATTCTTTCCAGACAGTTGCACTGTGGAACACAGAAGTTAAGAAATTCACTGAAGGTCACACCGGACCAATGACAGTGCTAGGAAGAGGCTGACACCCAGTATTTGCTTTAACTCCCTGCGAATGTTTCCTTTACCCAAACACAGAGGACTATTTCTCTGCTGACCCCCTCACCTTGTGGTCACCTGTCAGGCAATCTATCTCAACCTCAGAGCAAGCAACACCATAACTGAAGTAGTGGAATGGTTTCCCTTCATTTGTTTCAAAGTTGTAGCCAACGTCGGGAATTCTTGATGCAGAGAAAAAAACAAAATCAGATTTAATTCACAGTCAAGAAGAATACAACCACAGTGCAATTTAGCAAAAAACTTCATTCGCTCGTGTTTTATCCCCTCCATCA